AAGGAAGAGTGTGCTAGGCAGAGAACAGCATGTGCAAAGGCCCCGAGGCAGGTGTGTGCTTGGTATGTCTAAGGTGTGGCCATACTGCTGCTCGGTGGTTCAGCCCCTCATTCACAGGGAAGCTAGGTCCCTCAGGGTCTTTCCCTGGTGGATGGGTGGGTGGGTGGGAGGTGACATCAACCCCCTCACTAGCCCTGGCCACTGCAGACTTTAAGGGGGAGAAAGTAATGCGTTTGCACCTTCCCTCCCCCCGACACATACACAGAACAGCTGCCACGATGCCTGGGCCCCACACTCCAACTATGTGTGAGAGGACTGTGGTCAGACTCCCTCAAGTTACTGCAAATGGAGGGAAAGAAGGAGAGGGGAGCAGTGTAGAAGGCTCCTGTCGCTTCAGAAAAAGCCCTGCTGAGGCAGGGTCTTGGGGCCTGCTTTAAGGATCAGATAGACCCCACTGAAGGTGCGTATGGAGTGCGGCCATTGGTTTCTTCCCCCAAGTATGTTATCTAGTTCCCTTCCTATCATGCACAGGGCCCAAATGCTCTCAGCAGATCCTTCCATAGTAGGTAACTCAGAGGGAAATTGGAATGTGTTCCACTTACATGACAGATCTCCTGTCAGGGTCTTCTGAATGAACCACAAGTTAGGGGGACACTGGGCAGCTGCCCTGCAGCTGGGAGCCCATTCCCCTATTTGGTGTGAACCCAGGAAAGGGACTCAACCAAGGCTGCCCAGAAGGGAAGCAGCCAGGTGGCTGAGGGGCAGTGTCTGAAAACCCACCTCTCTGCCCATTCAGGGACTGTGCTCTGGGATGAGTGGGCAGGGGCCCTGCCATGTCACCAGGCACGGAGAGTGTGTCAGAGGGCAGAGAGACAGCCTCACTCTTTTCCCAGTCAGCTTGTGGTTGAGCTCTGTGGCTGGGCAGAGAAGGAAGAGGCCTTTGTATGGTGTGGGATACACCAGGATAAGCGGGTGGAAGCTGCTGTCCTGAGGGCCTATAGGCTCTTCAGTTGGAGTCCCCAAAACCCAGTACATTACTAAGCATGTGGCGGACACTCAGGAAGTGTTTGAGGTGGTGGAGAAACCCATCATGGGCAGGAGAAACATTGCAACTCCGATGCAGGGTCCTGGGCACACGTCTATCCAGAGGGCCACAGACATGGCGGTGGTAAAGTCATGGGCTCCAGAATCAGGCACATGTGGTTCGAATCCTGGGCCATTTCTTGGTAGCTACATGTGCCTGGGCAGTTAGTCAACCTCCCTGAGCCTCAGATTCCCGACCATTTGTTGTGATGATTGAACCAGATTAAAGTGCAGTGCCTAAGGCATTTGACCGCTAACCAGAAGGTTGGCAGTTTAAACCCACCAATTGACTCAAAGGCCGTGAGTTTGGTGGGTTTTTTTTTTTTTTTTTGGAATAGTCTCTAATATGCCAAAAAAAAAACCATTATCGAGTCAATTCCAACTCATAGTGACCTCCCTTGGGTTTCCGAGGCAGTAAATCTTTACAGAATTAGATTGCCCAATCTTGCTTCTGCGCAGTAGCTGGTGGATTTGAACCACCAGCCCTCTGGTTAGCAGTCAAATCCCTTAGCCACCGTGTTACCAGAGTTCCTTAGTGTCTAATATTGTTGTTGTTGTTATGTGCCGTTGAGTTGGACCCGACTCATAGCAACCCCTCCTTGGGTTTCCAAGGCAGTATCACTACAGAAGTAGATTGCCCCACCTTCCTTCTGAGGAGTAGCTAGTGGGTTTGAACCTCCAGCCTCCTGGTTAGCAGTCAAGTGCCTTAGGCACTATGCCACCAGAGCTCCCTGTGCCCCCAAAGTAGTGTCTAATATATGGGGCACTAAGTAAGTATTAGCCTATTATTAATTATTCATGTTACTTGGATCCACAGTCAACGCCCATGGAAGTGGCAGTCGAGAAATCAGATGATGTACTGCACTGGGCAAATGTGCTGCAAAAGACCTCTGTAAAGTGCTGAAGAGCAAACATGTCTCTTTGAAGACTAAGGTACACCTAACCTAAGCCATGGTTCTCAATTGCCTCATATGCATGTGAAAGCTGGACAATGAGTTAAGGGAAGAGTTGATGCTTTTGAGTTGTGGTGTTAGCGAAGAATACTGAAAGCACCATAGACTGCCATGTTGTTGTTGTTACTGTGTGCCATCGAGTCGGACCCGACTCATAGCGACCCCTCCTTGGGTTTCCGAGGCAGTATCACTATGGAAGTAGATTGCCCCATCTTCCTTCCAAGGAGTGGCTGGTGGGTTTGAACTGCCAGCCTTCTGGTCAGCAGTCAAGTGCCTTAGGCACTATGCTACCAGAGCGCCCATGGACTGCCATAAGAACTAACAAATCTGTCCTAGAGGAAGTGCAGCCGGAACACTCTTTGGAAGCGAGAATAACCAAGACTTCATCTCACCTACTTTGGTCTTGTTGTCAGAAGGGACCATTCCCCGGATAAGGATATCATGCTCGGTAAATTGGAAGGTCAACAAAAAAGAGGAAGGCCCTCAACGAGACGGATTGACACAGTGGCTGCAATTGTGGGCTCAGGTGTGCCAAGGATTGTGAGGCTGGGACAGGACCGGGCAGTGTTTCGTTCTGCTGTTCACAGGGTCCCTATGAATTGGAGCTGACTCAATGGCACCTAACAACAACAACAACATTAATATTATGATATTAGTGATAATATGATAATATTATCATTCACTGCCTTAAGTTGGGGGGTGGGAACTGATGACTCCAGGCCCTTGTCAACTCTATGCTTCTATTTGTCTATGCTGCCCTTAGTCAATTACTATTTCATGGCGTTCTCACACTTTTGCCATAATTTTATGAGTTGCCAAGTCTGTGACATACCACATGATGGGACCTTGGCTCTGGGACCCACCCTCTCCCTGCTCCTGGCATGACGCAGGTGAGAAGCCCCCTAAAGACCCCAGCTCAGTGTCAGCCGACCCGACTAGACATCCATCCATCTGTTCTAGCTCATCTACCCCACTTGCCCCATTTGTCTTGGTGTTAGAAGACAAATGGCCCATTATCAGAGACCACTGTGGCTGGTGAGGGATTGAGTGCCACAAAGCCAGGCAGGTTGGGATGGGATAGATGGGGATGGCACGTGGTATAAGACACTGGGCAATGAATGCCTGTTGCCTCCAAGGACATGAGCCACCTGTGTGCATTCAGGGATGCCACTCTTTTGGGAGCACAAGAAAGTTAATGGAGCCTGACCTGGCCCCAATGCATGGAGTCAGGGGACAGGCCCTTTCCTCTCAGGCTAGCCTCAGAGCAGGTCTCCTCCCTCCCAGGCTCTCCCTCCACACAGCTGGCCAGCCACCCAGAAATTCCACAGAACTCTAGGCACTCTTGGTCAAGAAATTCCCCATGTTCCCCACGGTCCAGCTTAGCCAATGTTGCAGCCAGATGCTCCCGGGTCCCAGTACCGCCCCAGGCTTACTGCTCTCCTCCCTCTTCAGCCCTCCTCTGTCCTTCCACCAAACCCACATGCTGGTCCTCAGCCAAACCTTGCTCAGGGCACTGGCTCCTTTCTGCCAGTCCATACTCAAGAGTCTTTTTAAGAATCACCTTGAAACTTCCTCCATCAGGAAGCCTTCCTGGATTTTCACTACTCGTGTTCTAACCTCCTTGTATCCTCTACCATAGTGAGTAATTTGTGGCAACTGCCTTCCCCTAATTCCAGCTATACAGTAAGCATTTTAATATGCTTGCTGATGTCACCAACCATAATACCCAGAAATGCTATCACACCCTACAGTTTGTGAAATACTGCCATAAAACTCAGTGCATTTAATCTTATAACAGACCCTGGAAGCAGTGATCACCCCCCCCATCCCACTTTACAGGTGGGAAAAGTGAGGCTCAAAGGGGTTAAGGGCATCCCTGTGACCACCAGTCCCTACCTCCCTAGGCCCACAACCAGGAAAGGTGACTGTGCACCTGCCATGACCCACACAGAAGCCCAGTCTGCCTTCTCCAAGTCCAATGCTTCTTTCTCTACACCCAAAACAAACAAACAAACTCAGTGCCATCAAGTTAATTCTGACTCACAGCAACCCCCTTTGGGCTTCTTTATGAAGCAGATCACTTCATCTCCCTTCATGAAGCAGTTTGTGAGTTTGAACCGTTAACCTTCTGGTTAGCAGCCAAAATCTTATCCACGACACCACCAGAGCTTTTTTCTTTTCTATCCCCAAATCTTCCTGATGAAGGAGCAGCAGGCTGAGGGTGGTTGCTTTGAGTTGTGGAACCTCCTCTCCCTGTAGGGCCAGTCTCAGAAGTCTGTGCCTCTTGCTCCCCGGTGGGTACACCTGCTTCTCCACTAGCCTGCTTCTTGTACTCTGCTCCACGGTATATACATGCAAGTGGACTTGAGTTCTGGACCAGAATGGGAGTGCTTCTGTTCCCCCAGTGCGTAGCATGGGTCTGCCACACAGTAGGTGCTCAATTAATGAGCTGGATTGAATCAAGGAGTGACTTGAAGAGAAAATAAATCACCAAAGGTCTATGAGCCTCCCCAAAACCTTCAGGTATGAACCCACCCAAACCTGCACCCACCTTCAGGATCCTTCTCAACATGGCACTCTGTGAAGGCATGACCAATTGCTTGGAGCCTTAGGAAAATCTCTCTGCTGTTCCTGTTTTAAGAAGCTCTGGTGGCACAGCAGTTAAGCACTCAACTGCTAAGCGAAAGGTTGATGGTTCGAAACTACCCAGCAGTTCAGTGGAAGAAAGAATCTGGTAATCTGCTCCTGTAAAGATTACAGCTTAGAAGACCCTATGGGGCAGTTCTCCTGTGTCATAGGGGCTCAGTAGGAGTCAGAATGGTTGGGTTAACCTAACACCTAAAGACAACCTTCCTGCTTTAAGGTGAGGCTCTGTGTGCAGGCCCTGCAGGGTGGGGTGGGGAATGGCAAGAGGGAAGGACCCTGTGCTCAGCCGGAATCTGGCAGCAGGGGCTGGGTGCTCACCGGAGACGTTGCCAGCCAGGGACAGACTATTGCAGTGCTGGTCCTGGAGGGAGGCAGAGACGGGGTTCAGCCCCAGGAGGAGGAGAGCCTATGAGCACAAGGAAATAAGGGTGTGGTTAGGCTGGTGCTGTGGCAGTTTGTCTGGCAGCTTCCTACCCCAAGCACGCATCCAGTCTCTTCCCAGACCCTTCTGTCCTCCTCTGGTACCCCCTCCCCCAGCCTCCTTGCCTTCCTGCCTTTGTCCTCTCTGCCCGGAAGGTCTCAGCCACAGTCTGACTGAAAGCAGGAGGATTTCAGCTCTAGGCGCCAGCACCTCCGGTGAGGCACTACTCTGCCAGACAGTTAACCCAGAGGCCTGAGGAGCCGGACAGGAAGTTACTCTCTGTCGCCACCCCCCACCCCCACGACCCTGCTTTTTCTTCTCAGGGTCCCCTCCCTCTGACTCACTCCTGAGCCCCGACTCCTGCACCCCTGTGCTGTGCCCGGCACTCGGGACACTCGGCAAATGTGTGGGAAGTAGCTAACTGGCTCCAAGAACTCAGGAGTGATTATAAGAAACCCGTTCATCTCTCTGGCCCCAAGGAACGTCCAACACTTTATGAATCAGTAATTAAACCTCACAGTCCCCGGGGGTGGGGCAGAAGGGGGAGAGAGAGAATTATTGCCATCATTTTCCAAATGAAAACACGGAAGCAGAGAGAGGAGAAAACCACTCACCTAACCCAACCCTGCCTCTGCCACCTCCCAGGGCGCAGACACACACACACACACACACACAGATTCTATTTGGACTTCAGCACTAGCTCAGCCATAGGCAAATTAAAGAAACCAGAAACACCCTATTCCGAAATATCAGCCTGACATTCTACCATTATCTGCCTAATCCTTCAGCCGTCCTTTGTACCTCGGTCTTCCAGATCCCTCTTGAATAAACATCATGTTCTACTCACATTGAATTACTTAGCATTTCCCCAACACACCGGCTCCTCGTCTTTCGACACCTTTACCACGAAGTTCTCTGTCCCCTCTTTGGCCCGGCTCACTCTTCACCCGGAGAGTCCTGCGGTCCCCAAGAGCCGATTCCAGGGGCTCCCTCTTGGCAGCACCTCTCCCCAACCCTCCAAAACCAAGCCACCGAGTCCCCAGAGCGCTGTATGCAGGGGCTGGGTGCTGGGTGTTCGTGAGGCTCATGGATGAAGGCCACGGGCTCTGCCTGAACGCATGAAAACCATCTAAGTATAAAGCCCTCACACCTAGGCTTCTAATTAAACGGCAAATACCCAGGCCCCGCGTCCTTATTCATGCATCTTAACGTCCTGGGCTTCGCAGACAAGCACAGCAAGTCAAGCTTCATCAGAAAACCAAACCGAATGCCATGGGGGAAAGGACACGTCTAGCCCAGGCTGCCCAGTCCTGACACTTACGTCTCCTTGGATCTCACAGCTCACAGTCATCTTCTGCCAACAGGGAACCCGTTTTGCATTATGCGAAGAAAAAATGCTTCTTAGAATTCAAACCAACCTTTCCTCTCAGAATAGGTCGGTACTATGGCAGGATTTGAGCCTTCCCCACCTCTTGCTCTGTGGAAATGTTTGTAAATTCTAGCTTATTTCTAAACACTTCCATGAAAAGTCTGGAGTTTGCCCATGTATTTCCTCCCACTGTCACCCCCACTGCCATCGAGTCAACTCCAACTCCTAGCAACTCTACAGGGAGCTCTGGTGGCGTAGTGCCTAAGGCACTTGACTGCTAATCAGAAGGCTGGCAGTTCAAACCTATTAGCCACTCCTCGGAAGGAAGATGGGGCAATCTATTTCCATAGAGATACCACCTCGGAAACCCAAGGAGGGGTCGCTATGAGTCAGGTCTGACTCGACGGCACACAACAACAACAGCAACCCTACAGGGTAGAACAGAGCTGCTCCACAGGGTTTCCAAGGCTGTCAATCTTTATGGAAGCAGACTGCCTCATGTTTCTCCCACACAATGGCTGGTGGGCTCGAACCACCGACCTTTTGGTTAGAAGCCCAATGCTTTACCCACAGCACCACCAGAGCTCCCAGTATATGTCAGTCATGAGGTCCCTGGGTGGCACAAACAGTCTGTGCTTAGCTGCTAACCTAAAGGTTGGCAGTTTGAACTCACCCAGTGGGGCCATGGAAGAAAGGACTGGCAATCCGTTTCCATGAAGATTACAGCCAGGAAAACCCTTCGGAGCTGTTCCACTCTGTAACACACGGGTTGCCGCACGTCGGATCAACTTGACAGCAGCAAGTGTACTTTAAAGTTGTTTTTTAATACATTAAACACTTCATCAAAGTTTACTTCATATACTATAGTTTTCTATCTCAGTCAACAGGTTGTTGTATGTGGTTGTTCTTTGTTGTCTTCTGAACCTGTTGTTGTTGTTGTTAGGTGCCATCGAGTCATCTCCAACTCACAGCGACCCCACGCACAGAAGAACAAAACACTGCTTGGTCCTGTGCCAGCCTCACGATCCTTGCTACACCTGAGCCCATCGCTGCAGCCACTGTCAGTCCACTTTGTTGAGGGCCTTCCCCTTCTTCATTGACCCTCCACTTTACCAAGCATGAACCTGGAGTTCTTAATCTAGGTTCACAAACATACAAAGTGGGGAGGGGAATCCATGATGCATTGCTGTCAAATGGATTCCTACTCATAGCAACCACGTTGGACAGAACGGCAGTGGACTACCTCATGTTTCCCCTAAGGAGCAGCTAGTGTGTTCGAACTGCCAATCATTCGATCAGCAGCACTCACCACTGCGCCACCAAGGCTCCTTGGGATCCATGAGGCCTGTAATTAAGAGCAGAATGTTGTGTGCAATGAATGCCATTTTGGCGTGTAGATTTCTCTGCTTCCCAGAAGAACTGGCACCAGAAATGGGTGGGAACTACTGGCTGGACCGTGTGGGGAACAGGATCACATCAGAGGCCTGAGCCTCCACCAAAATGGACCTTAAATCAAACCCAAAGTGGATTTGGACTAAGAACCACTCTGACCCCTCCATGTGCCCCCCACTCCATCACCAGCCCTACCCCCAGGTTTGGCTCTCAAAGCCTTCCTTCACAAGCTTAATTTTCAAGACGTCAGAGATTTACCGTTTTCCAACAGTTAGTCGAGATGAGGCATCCCTGGGTGGCACAAACAGTTACGCACTCAACCACTAGCCAAAAGGTTGGCGGTTCCAACCCACCCAGAGGCTCTTTGGAAGACAGGCCTGGCAACCTGCTCCTGAAAGGTCACGACCTTGCAAACCCTATAGAGCAGTTCTCCACACTCACGGGGTCACCATGACTCAGAACCCACTTGACGGCAACAACAGTAGAGAAAAAATGGCGCTGAGAATCGAAAGCCGGCAGAATGCTAGGCTCACTCACTAGTTAATGCCTCATCGCCCAGAAGTATGCCATCAAGACCCAAAATTAAATCTGTGCCTCAGCTGTACTTCTCCCCACTCATCCAAGAGCCAAACCTCCAATGTTAAATCTGAAGAGGAGTGTGCCCAATTACTACACGACTGAAATGACTGTCCCAGGACCCACTGGGTCCCTGACATGGAAATGGCACTGAGCTGCAGAAAGCAGACGGGACAGGTCTCAGTCTCCCCATTTTACAGCTGGGGTAGGTGGGGTGCAGAAACAGCCTGTTTGTAGAATCCCTGGGAGGTGCGGATGGTTAAAGCACTGGGCTGCTAACTGAAAGATTGAAGGTTCAAGTCCACCCAGAGGCAGCTGAGGCACAGGGGGTTGCCATGAGTCAGAACTCACTTGACAACCACTGGTGGTGTTGTTGTTAGGTGCCATTGAGTCGGCTCTGACTCATAGCGACCCTATGTACGACAGAACGAAACACTGCCTGCTCCTGTGCCAGCCTCACAATCCCTGCTATGCCTGAGCCCATCACTGCAGTCACTGGGTCAATCCATCTCATTGAAGGCCTTCCCTTTTTTGTTGACCCTCCACTTTACCAAGCATGATATCCTTCTCCAGGGAATGGTCCCTTCTGACAACATGATCAAAGTCGGTGAGATGAAGTCTGGCCGTCGCTTCCAAGGAACGTTCCAACTGCACTTCTTCCAGGACAGATATGTTAGTTCTTCTGGCAGTCCATGGTATTTTCAGTATCCTTCACCAACACCACAACTCAAAAGCATCAACTCTTCTTTGGTCTTTCTTATTCGTTGTCCAGCTTTCACATGCATGTGAGGCGATTAAAAACACCATGGCTTGGGTCAGGTGCACCTTAGTCTTCAAGGAGACATCTTTGCTCTTCAGCACTTTAAAGAGGTCTTTTGCAGCAGATTTGCCAAGTGCAATACGTCATATGATGTCCTGACTGCTGCTTCCATTGGTGTTGATTGTGGAACCAAGTAATATGAAATCACAACTACTGGTAGGATTCAGTAATGTATTAGTTTCTAGGGCTGCTGTAATAAATTACCACAAACTGGGTGACTTGAAACAACAGAAATTTATTCTGCTATAGTTTTACAGTCTGGAAGCCCAAAACCAAGGTGTCAGTAGGGCCAAGCCCTCTCTGAAGGCTGTCCTAGCTTCTGGTGGCTGCCAGCAGGCCTTGGCATCTCTCCAATCTCCGCCAACATCTTCCTACGACATCCACTCCGTGTTTCTTCTCTTATTCTTATAAGGACACTGGTCATATTGGATTAGGATCCACCCTACTCCAGTACAACCCTTGCATCTGCAAAGACCCTGTTTCCAAACAAGGTTACGTTCACAGATACCAGGAATTAGGTATCTTTTAGGGGGTCACAATTCAATTCATAACAAGCCAGTCAGTGATTCGTGTTTGTCTTATGAGTAGATGAATGATAGAGGAGGAGAATGGCGGTCGGCAGCACAGGCCATTGAAAGAAGAGAGGGGAAGAGGAGAGGGGAGCCCTGTCCAGCCTCTGCAATGCAGAAGTCCTTGAAGGGGTGGGGGGGAAGGAGTCTGACAGCTGCCTGCTCCAGCTGCCGCCCTGCCCCACCCCCAGGCCAGCCAAAAGCAAGCTGGAATTGAAGCTGCCTTCCCAGATCCCAGTGTGACTTTGGCGTAAAGGTT